TGTACCATGTACCATGTACCATGACCAAAAGTACCTTGAGGAGGAAAGGGTTTAGTTCATCTTACAATTTGTAGCAGGGAAAGTCAGGGCAGGAGGCTGGAGGCAGGAGCTGATGCGGAGGGCATGGAGGAGTGCTGCTTACTGGCTTGTTACCCATGGCCTGCTCAGCCTGCTTTCTAATAGAACCCAGAACCACCAGCCCAGGGGTGGTACAACCTGCAATGGGCTGGGTCCTCCCACATCAATCATTAGTTAAGAAAATGCCCTACAGGTTTTCCCATGGCCCAACATTATGGAGGCATTTTCTCAACTGAAGTCCCACTTCCCAGATAATCTAACTTCTGTCAGGTTGAGAGAAACTACACTGGAACTCACTATGGAACAGGGCAGAGGGGAACTTCAGAGAAGGGTCCACACTCAGGCTGGGAGGCTTGTGTCATGTTCTGGGGGCATCTGGCCAATAAGAAGAAGTGCTCACAGTCAAGTTCATTTTGTTAAATTCCTTGATCGTTCCCTTTCCTCCGTTGGCAGCCATGGCTATGCCCGGTGGCAAGACATCCAGAACGACGCTCAGTTTGCCATTATCAATGAACCATTTAAAACAGAAGCCAATAAGGGGAACTTCCTGGAGATGAAAAATAAATTCCTGGCCCGAAGGTTCAAGGTGGGGATGAGAAAGAAGAGGAGTGGGGGTGAAGAAGGGCCTGGCTCAGATGTGGGCTGGAAGGAATGTTAGCATCCTGAGAGTCAAGATAGCACTTGTGGCTCAGATCCAAGTGGAACTTCTGATGGGAACTGTGGAGCTGGAGTTTCCTGGGGCAACATTGGACAGAGTAGTTCTAGTGCTGGGTCTGGTCCTTCCATTCACTTGTCTTTACCCCCATCCTACGCCCTTAGCTCCTGGAGCAGGCGCTGGTGATCGAGGAGCAGCTGCGGCGGGCGGCCTACCTGAACCTGTCACAGGAGCCGGCGCACCCCGCCATGGCCCTCCACGCCCGCTTTGCCGAGGCCGAGTGCCTAGCCGAGAGCCACCAGCACCTCTCCAAGGAGTCGCTGGCAGGGAACAAGCCGGCCAACGCTGTCCTGCACAAGGGTAAGGGCCGCGGTGGCCCCGCGCGGGGGAGGGCCCACAACGCTGCGTAAGTCTTCACCCCGCACCCTTCAAGACCTTCCCACACCCTTCGCCCCCTTACCCCTCTACCCTCTGAACCACTGCCCTCTGCCCTCTAACCCCACCTCTGACCCAACTGGCACCCTTTTGGGTTTTAGCCTTTACACATTGTCAAAGCCCATACCTGATAGAATTTACGTCAGGGACCAGTAGGGAACCGTCACCTCATACAGTGGGACCTGATCCCTGCGAGTGGGACCACATGGTGGCTCCTGATGTGATCCTGATAGCCTTGCTTTGTGTGTGTACACTGCAGATGTCCTTGGCTCTGACCCACAGGTCACTTTCTTTGTATCTCCTTTACCCTATGAAGTGAAAACGACTGCCCATCTACTGGGCAGACTCCGTGAAGCTAGCCTTTGACCCTCAACCTTTTCTCCCACACTCTCCTACCTTGGTAACTCTAGGTTAGGTCCCAGAGCCATCTTAACCACCTAACAGAGCCTGGTGTAGCGCCTGACTCCTGCCAGCCTTAGGTCCTTCTATACAATGCTGACTCTCTAACCCCCTCCCCCTCATGTATTAAAATCGAGTCCTTAAACCATACTGCCCCCACGCTTCCTATTTCCTCCCCAACATCCCCGACCCCTAAACCTCCCTTTTCCAGTATGGGATGTTCTGACAACCCCGACCCCATGTCTTCCAATGTCTCCCCCTACCTCTTTTCCATACTTTCCTTTTCTTTATTTCCATGTGTTCTGTGTGGTATCTGGCCTGCTGCTCTCCTTCTCTGAATCACTCTTCTCCTGTCTACTCTCTGCCATTTTGTCTTTGGCCTGTGGTCCTTTGATGTCTGTGTCCTCTCTTTCTGACTGTACTTGTCCATCTGACTGTCCCTTTTTCTGGCTCCATCTTTCTCTCCACCTTTCTCTTGCCCTTCTCTCTCTGTGGCCTGGGCCCCAGTGCTGAACCAGCTGGAGGAGTTGCTGAGCGACATGAAGGCAGATGTGACCCGCCTGCCAGCCACGCTGTCCCGGATACCCCCCATCGCAGCCCGCCTTCAGATGTCCGAGCGCAGCATCCTCAGCCGGCTGGCCAGCAAGGGCACGGAGCCTCACCCCACACCGGTAACCCTCTTTTCCCTAACTCATTTTCCTGTCAGTGCCCCGTGTACATACACACAACCACTCCATCAGAATCCTGTACGTACAGAGAAACCGCTTGTTCCCAACAGTCTGCATCTTGAGTCTCCCTGCCTAGTAATTCTGGAACTTGATTTTTCCCTCTAGTCTGTGGACTACCTAACTCCAGTTTGCTCTCCTGTTCCAGGCCTTTCCCCCGGGTCCGTACGCCACACCTCCGGGGTACGGGGCAGCCTTCAGCGCCGCACCCGTAGGGGCCCTGGCCGCCGCAGGCGCCAATTACAGCCAGATGCCTGCAGGGTCCTTCATCACAGGTTAGATGGTGCTTCTGACTTTGTGCTTCTCCCTAACCCTGACCAAACTTCATCCCTGCTTGACCCCCTTGTCTCGCTTCAAGCCCGCCTCTCTTCCTTGAAGTGTCCAGTGTTTTTGGGAGAGTTGTTCTGGGTTGTTCTGTCCACTCCTTTGTACCCCATCTTCTATCCCCATGTCAAAAACCTCAGTCAGGAGGCTGAGGCAGGGTTCCTGAGAGTCCTCAGGCTAGCCTGGGCTTGTGTGAGATGCTATCTCCAAAAAGAAACCAGCTGGGTGTGGTGAGGCACACAACAATTGGGAGGCACAAACAGGTGGCTCTCTGTGAGTTCTAGTTCAAGAACAGCCAGGGCCATGTAGGAAAACCCTGTCTCAAAGAACCAAAAAAGACAAAAGCCTCACCCACCATATGGTTTCATGTCTCCGATTTGAGCTTCCTCTACCTGGTTTCCTCAGGAGAAATGAATGTGAACTCAGAAAGGCTAGAGAGTCAGACCTGTCACATGGTACAAGAGGAATCTAACCTTTCTACATTCATAAGAAAAATCAGAAGTGGCAGGAAATGACTTAGCAGTGAGGCTAGGCTGTTACTAAGGGGTGATATTTGGAATGTGAGGACTGACTTTTTTTAACCTGTCTCCCCAAACAGCCACCACCAACGGCCCTCCAGTGCTGGTGAAGAAAGAGAAGGAAATGGTGGGGGCGTTGGTGTCAGACGGGCTGGGGCTGGATCGGAAGGAGCCCCGAGCAGGGGAGGTGATTTGTATAGACGACTGACTGGATCCCAGGCCTGCCCTTCACCTAGGCCCCGACCCCGGAGCCGACCCACATCTCAGGCCTTGGGGCCTGCTGCCAACCCTCCACCTTCCCCACCCCTTGGGCCACCACTGGGCTAGAAGCCCTTTTGCCCCTCTATAACGCCTCCCTTCAAGAAGGACCCCTATCTCTCTCCACCTTCACACACCTTTCCCACCAAACCTTGAAGACTGTGCTGGTGTGAAGAGGTCTGAGTGAGAGATGGTTAGCAGGGTCTTCCAAGTACCTGGATGCCCTACCACCAAATATACACAGCTTCCCAATAAATGATTGTCCAGGAGGGAGGAGGTGGAGCCTCCCAGGCCTTTCCTGCAGTATCACCTCCACCTCCTGCCAAAGTGGGGGATTAGCCTTGCCTGGCCTTTAGGAACTTTTGTGAGATCGTCAAAGAGGAGGAGAACCTTGTTAAAAGATGAAAATTCCAAGGGAGGAGGAAGGGAAGTGTGTGTGGGGGGCTGCATGGCACTTTCCCTCCCTCCCAAACGGAGGGTACAACAGCTACAAGTGAGGGCGCTGACTTCTGCTCACTGGCTCAGTTACCACCTGTGTGCCAGCATCTTACAGTAAGAACCGTTCTCCTTCCCGGGGACCAAGGACCACCCCCACAGAGTAATGGTTGGGTGATACTCCCTCAAGCCAAAGAGGAGCTCCTCAGCCTGTTCTAGGAAACCTAGAAAGGGTGGGGGAGACTGCAGAGGGCCAGGCATGGGGCAGACCCCACACTGGGGCTCAGGTCTTTGGGGAACGAAATCCTCCCTCCTCAAGGCCTAGATACAGACTACATTTGAGTAGGTCAGGCCAGCGGTCTAGTCAGGAGCCTGCCTTGCCTGTGGGACCAGAGCAACACAGTGGGTAACAGGCTAGGGAGATTCGGGCACATTCCCCCTCCAAGGAGGGGCCAGGGAGTGGCAGTTTGCATGGGGAACCCCCATATCCTCCTTGCTGCCCCTTTCCCAGTCTCTTCGCTCCCACTCCTGGTCTGTCCCAATCCCTTCTTCTGTATCAGGTTATCGGTTGTACATATAAATTATACTTTCCTTTCTGTGTGCTGTCATTTTGCTTGGGAAGGGGAATTTTTGTGTGGAGTTAAAAAATAAGGATTATTGCTGTATACTATTTCAGTAGGTCCCCACCCCCTGCATGGTTGTTGTTTTTGAGACAGGGTTTCTCTGTGTAGCCCTGGCTGTCCTGGAACTTGCTCTGTAGCCCAGGCTGGCCTTGAACTCAGAGATTATCCTACCTCTGCCTCTCAAGTGCTGGGATTAAAGTGTGTGCCACCACTGCCCAGCTAATAATCCTCTGTCTATTTTGTGAGTTTTCTGTGTTTTTATCTCTTGAATCATTCACCAAAATAAGACCTTTTTTCAAAACCAACCACACGATGAGCTCGGTGCCGAGAGGTGGTAAGCAGTAGGATCCCTGAGGTTACAAAGGCAGGTGTAGACAAGGAGCAGGCTGCCTGACAGGAGAGAGGCCCAACACTGAAACCAGCCTTCCCCCAGAGTCAGTAGAGGTCACTACAGCACCAGTTTCAATTCTACTATGGAGCCTGGGATGAGTGTGGTGTCACTCAACTGCTGGACAAAACTTTGTCTTGTTCAATAACAGTCTTTCACAGGTTGAGTGAGCCCAGATGCTTTATTCTTGAGACTATTACATTCAAAATAAATTCAGCAAATATTTTTGAATACATACTATACATTAACACTGCTATTGGCTCTGGAGATAGTCATTTGAAGTTTACATGGTAGAAACACTCAACACATAAATACCAGAAAATACCAGCATTCACTTTGGCAGCACGTATATAGGAAATAGACAATAGGCACATTACAACAGATGGATGCTGGCTTCCAAAAGGTGACATTCAAGCTGAAACTTAAGGACAGGAAAAGGACAGAACATTTTAAAAATGGAGGTTTATACCCTATAACTACATACATTATTTGTTAACAAAAACAGCATCTTGAAGACCTCTGAAAACTGAAGTCTATTGTAAATTCACATTTTTAGCTCAGAAAAAAATTTGTCTTCTCAAAAGAATGTCACTTTGGAACTTTAATGTGTCATTAGTGTTTTAAATGTTCCACCTACAGATGATGATGACATCCCAGAGTGACTAAGATCTAAACTAGTGTTTCTTAACTTACACACACACCTAGGATTCTAAAAATATCAGGGAATGTGGACTGGGGTCCTGAAATTCTGCATTTCTAGCAAGCTGTGAGACCAACCAACACTGCTGGTCTTGATTTTAAGTCTATAGAAAGATATTTACAGGACTTTAAAATAGAACTGACGACTTACAATAAACAATGTTCCATTATGGGACACAAATATAAGTTATGTGAGCATCTTTTTCCCCAGTATTGCTACAGAGCCTGTAAAGATAACAAATAAAGGGCTAAATTTTGCTTCCTTTATCAAATGGTGCTCACCCATCCTTGATAAGCCTTAATTAAGGCCTCATGTAAATAAATGCCCCTTAGATGTTTTCATACCTGCCCTATCAAGTTGAAGGGAGGTTGTGTATGCAAGACTTCCCAATCATAAGCAGGGAGGCAACTCAGTAATTTCTAGAACACGGAACCCAGAGTGGGAAGATGGCACACCAGCAAACACACATAACCAGATAAGTGAGATTGATGTGACATAATATCCCGTCCTGTCTTTTTCTTTACAAAGTAAACATTTTCAACCACAGAGCACTGCTAAAATGGGACCCGCTGCTTATACCACAGACTCTGAACAAACGCCAAAGCTTTGTTATTTTTTTTCTCGCATTATGGTAGCCTTTGTTTCTATTATCCCTTGGCCACTCGATCCTGAAAATGTAATGCTGGCAGTCTAGGACCCTTCGACGCTCAGAATTCACACCACCTAGGGTACTTTCTGTTCAGCTCCAGCTCCATCACGCACGCACGTACCAGTTCCAGCATCAGTGGGTAGTCTTGACATCAACCCTTTGTATCAGAGCACGCCGAGGATGCTGCTCCCACCTGCTTTCTGCCATAGCTCCCGGGTTCTTCAGTTACAGCGTACAACGGGTCATGTGGGCAATGTCCTTGACCTCTGGACAGTAGAGCACTGGAGGAAAGAAGAAGGGTTAGTGGCAACAGGAGGATGCAATCTGACCCAGCATTCTTCGGCGCGATGTACCCAGTATCCTCCCTAGGCCGCGCCTCACCATTGCTAGGCAACGGACGCCGCAAGCGGCGCGCCGGCGCCAGGACCCTGTCCAAAATTCGGCGAACCGCGCGCCAACCTGCACTTGAAGGCCCCGCCCCCTTCTCGCTCTCCTCTTCCCCGTCGTCGTCCTCTCCATCCTCTCCGCTTTCTTTGGCTGGGCTCCCCATCGGGTCTCCTTCACGCTCGGCCCGGGCTTTTTTCTCCAGCTGTGACCACAAGTCAGGGTCTAGAGCGATCTCCGTGACGCCGCCGCGCGGGAGCGGGGAAGGCGCGCGGCAGAACGGGCACGTGACAGCGCGGCGCAGGCGCACCACGCGCGCGGCCGCGCGGCTGCCGTCGCCCCGCGCCGCCAGCTCGCGCAGGCAAGCGGTGCACAGCGTGTGGCCGCAGCGGGCGCGCGCCGTGCCGGCCAGGCGGCGGGGCGCACGGGCTCCGAGGTTGTAGGGTCGGAAGCAGATGTTGCAGTCCAGCTCACCCCGCTCGGGAAGAGAGGGCACTCTCATTAAGAGCTGCATCGTGGTCACCGTGGCCTTGGATCCCGCGGCGGCTAGGACACGGGATGGACGAGCCCTCCTTGGGCCAGGGCTGGGGCCTGGGGCCCGCGCCGCCGCCTCTGTCCCTTTTTAATAGTGAGGCCCCGCCCTCGAGGCGTCACGCACAGACCGGCCGCTCCCTTCCGAGGCACGCGTTGGGGCGGCGGAGGCGCGAGGCTGGGCATGCGAGTGAGGGTGCAGCGGGGTGAATGCCCAAGACAATGGCAGAATTGCCCGAGGGAAGAGGAGAGGGGGGGAAACACGCTCCACTCACTCACTGCCTCGATGGTGGCGGTCTTACCCCAGGAAAACACGGCACTGTCAATTAAACCTACCTGGGGCAGATGTCCAGGTCTCCTCTTGCCCGAGTCTCTAAGGTCTCATAGCCTATTTGTCACATGTTCATACTCTTTCACAATACGCCACCACCACAAACAGGCAACATACGCCAGGTTTACTGTTGGCTCTGTCCAATTTTAATTGGGTTCCTGGACGTTTGGAGTGTGCCCAGCCATAATTCACTCTGCTCTCACCTTTTTATACGTGACCTCTTGGGTTCTTTGCAAGGCTAGCTCCCCAAAATTCCTACCACCCTCCGAGAGTTTGAGTCCGGCTAACATCTCAGCCCAAGGAGGGACTTAGATTCTAGGAGCATGGCCTTAGGAATGCTGGCAATCTTTTCCTTCCGGAGTATCCAGGCTTGAACACCCACACAGTATGATGGTTGAAACGAAGCAGCTCTGCATGACTTCTGACTCAGGGGTCTGACTTCTCCCACAGGTAAACAGGACGTGGTACTCACAACCCACATTCCCTCACGGTGTAGCATCCACACCCAAGCTGCCTCCTCATCCTCTCGTACCCAGGCTCTGTTGTGGAGGATAATAACACAGTCTTGACACAGCTGGCTCATGTCCAAATCTTAGTTGTGACACCACAGGCAAGTTACTTAATTTCTCTGGGTCTTGATTTTGTCATCTACAAAGTGTGGATAATAGTAAGGATGGAACGAGCTTGTGTTTGTGAGGTGCTTTAAATGGTGCCTGGTTCACAGTAAACATCAGAGAAGCAGTGGCTGTTATTACCCTTATCATCCCTGGCTCGAAGCCTGCTTTGTGATCACTTTAACTTCTCACTACCCAGTATTTCCCATACACCATCTCTTGATTAATACAAGATGGGTTTCTCTATATGTATAGCATTTACCGGCTCATCACAGGTAGGATAGAGCTGGTTTTGATTGTTAACATTAGCGGTTTTAAAACTTAGAGGGTAATCTTTGCCTTGTTTGGGGAACAGAGTCTCACTCTGTAACCTTGGCTGGTCTGAAACTTTGTGTGTAGTTCTGGATGACTTCAAATTCACAAGAAATCTGCCTGCCTCTGCCTCCTGAGTGCTGGGTATTAAGGCATTTGTTACCATGCCTAACAACAGTAATGGTTTGCCCAGTCTAATTTGGAACTCACTATGTAGCCTAGGCTAGTCGAAGACTCATGGCCGTTCTCCTACCTCAGCTTCCAGAGCACTGGGATTATGGCTTCTGGAAAATAATCTTTTTGATGAGATTTACCTAAGATTTATTTTGTTTCTAGTGATGTATGTTGTAGGTCTGTGTGGGTGTGTGCCTATGAGTGCAGAAACACGCCCCCAACCCTACCCGTCCAGACAGCTGTCCCATCTCCGGTAGCTGGAGTCGCATGTGGTTGTGAACTGCCCAGCATGGGTTCTAGCAACAAAACTGGGTCCTCTATAAATAAAGAGCAGTGCAGACTGGGGACCTCATGTAACTCAGGTTGGTTTGGAACTCTACACTTCAGATCTTTCTTGTTCTGCTTCCCATGTGCTGGGACTACAGGTGTGTGCCTTCGTGTCCTGCTTTAGCTTACCATAGTTTTTAAGCAGACATTAAAATTTTAGGAGCTTGATGGCTTTTCTGGTCACTTGGAAGACTGTATCCACTTATTCCAGTGACACTGTCATAATTCATGCCTTTTATGGAACTTTTCTTTGGAAAGGTGTGCCTCACATTTTAAAATATCCTCAGGGGGCTGGCAAGGGGGCTCTGTGCTTAAAAACACCTTCCAGAGGACCTAAGTTCAGTTCACAGCACCTGTGTTGGGCAGCTCACAATTACCAATACTTCTAGCTTTAGATCTGAATCTTTTCTAGACTCCATGGGCACCTGCACACACCTGGCGCGCGTGCGAACGCGCGCGCGCACACACACATAAAACACTCTTAACTGATGGTGAGTTTTAATCTTTGTTTTTGTATGGGTGTGCATGCATGTGGATTCTTGTGTATGGTTAATGCTACGGCATATGTGTGAAAATCAGAGAACAACCTCAGGCGCACTCACTTTCCTCTTGTTTGCCTTTTCCTGTTGTTGTAGTGTGTGTTTATTTGTTTGTGAGGCAGAGTCTTACTATATAGCCCTGACTGGCCTCAAACTCAGAGATCTGCTTGCCTCCACCTTAAAGTGCTAGGGTTAAAAGCACGCACCATGCCCAGCCTCACATCCCACCTTGCTTGGGATAGGGTTTCACAGGCCTGTATGCCAGGATGGCTGGTCACACGCTTCTGGGATTCTGAGGACTCTCCTGTATCCACCTCCCACCTGCTGTAAGAGGCTGTGATTGCAGACACACGTGTCGTTACACTCAGCTTATGTGAGGTTCTCTTACTGACATTCAAGTGCTTTATCGGTGAGCCATCCCCCAACCCAAATCTTATTCATCGAAGGTAGAAAAAAATGAGCACAAGGTGCTCGTGGCCGGCGGTCCCTCTAAACTCATTTATAGCTTCCTGTCACCTGGTCCACAGCCCTTATGGCCAAGAACCCAAACTGAAGATCTCCCTTTTCCAAACCAGAATTTCTTCCTTTTTGTCCTCTTTCCCTTCCTTTGCTAGCTCCATATCCCTGGGTGGTAAGCTCTCCCATCCCCTCTTTTAGTGACCCATCCCCAAGCCCGGGCCATTTCGTCCCTTGAATAACCAATCTACCTACTTATCCCTACCTCTTTCTCATGTTCCTGGTCCAAGCTATTGTCATCTCTTGCCTCTCTGTCACTCACAAGCTCCCAGTTCCTTCACAGACACACTGGTCTGTAAGCTTTCCCCTCCACGTTATTTACAGAGAGCTTTCCAGTTACAGCTGCCACCGCGTCTACTCATGTTTACAGTCTTTTTTTTTTTTTTTTTTTTTTGGTTTTTTGAGACAGGGTTTCTCTGTGTAGCCCTGGCTGTCCTGGAACTCACTCTGTAGACCAGGCTGGCCTCGAACTCAGAAATCCACCTGCCTCTGCCTCCCAAGTGCTGGGATTAAAGGCATGCGCCACCACCGCCCGGCATGTTTACAGTCTTTTAGTGTAGGAGTGTTGAATGGTGCCCACATCCTTTGCTACTTCTCCCAGCCTACTACACCAGGCTTGGTGGCACACTGTGTAATCCCAGCACTTAGGAGGCTGAGACAGAATGACTGAGCTGGATGATACCCTGGACTAACATAGGGAGTCTCTGTTTCCAGTCAAACAAAAAAGAATCAACTTCCCTATCTGCAGTGGAGGATGGCTTTGTGACCAGCCTTGACCAATAATAGCAAGAGGCAGAGATCTTGCGCATGTTCTGGAGCCTCATCCTCCACAGCAGTGCACATCTGCCTGCGGGAAGGCTGCCGAGACCACCACAGAAGGAAGGAAGGTTAGACCCAAGCACTGGAGGTAAGGCCCTGGGGAGGAAAATGGACACACCCCAGGCAATGGCTAGTGCTGATTGCCTGACATCCTAGTGAAGAGATCTGGAATATTCCTGCTCGGTTAACCTGTTAAGTGAATACAGACACATGGAGGCATGGTGAAAGGGCAGAGGGACTCCAGTCAACCTGCAGGAGGATGAAAAAATGTGTAAGCTATGCATTTGGTTTTAAATTACCTTATTTTAAATTATATCTGTCTCCCTCTTTGTGTGTGTCTTTGTCATGTGTGTATACATGTGTATGGAGGTGCCTGCTGAAGCAAAGAGGGTATGTGTCAGATGCTACCCGGGAGTGGAGTTATGGGGGTGTGAGCTGCCCGAGGCCCCTCGGAAGGGAAGCACAGCGTGCATCTTACTACTCAGTCATCTTTTCAGCCCGCCTCCTCCTCACCTCAAGTTCATTTTTTAACCAAAATAGAAACTGTCCTGTTATCTTTAGGATCTGGATAATATTCTGAAATGCCCAGGTCTTGTGGGCCCTAACTTCAGTACCATGTTCTCTTTGCTCCTTGGACACTCTGGCTTTGGAGACTTTGGGGTTCTATTGTGGTTTGGGTCTTAAATGTCCTCTAAAGCCATGTGTTCTCGGCTTGGTTCTCAGGTGATGGTGCTTGGACTAGAGTGGTCAGGATTAGGTTAAGTGCTGTGTGAAGGTTAGACAAAGAACCCAGCCCCTTCCTCTCTGCTTCTCAGCTACCGTAAAGTGAGCAGTTTATTCTACTATGATGGGCTGCCACAGGCTAAAGCAAAAGGACCAAGCAACCCGGTGCTCAAACCTAGAAACTCATGAGCCGGAAGAAACCTGTCCTCTTTCTTTGTTTACCTCGGCTGTTTTGTTTCAGCAACAGAAAGCTGTCTGGTACTACTCCTCGCATGTTCCTTTCTGCTGCCAGGCCCTTGTACCCGTCGCTCTCCTCACACACTTGCTTTTCACAGCTACTCCATCTGCTCTCAGGGCTGCCTCGCCATGGCCTGAAGAGCATCATTTTAGACGCTCTTAACACCACGTGCTTCCGTCTAGACATTGGGCAACCGAAGTCTGTACTAGAACAGTGACCGTGCGGTTGTCTCTCCCAGCAGCAAACTACACGAAGGTCATTCCATATCCCCATGCCACACCATAGAGTGACTCAGTGCCCAAATGCTCACTGAACTCATGAATAAAGTGGGTGGGAAATAATGGCAAATGTCTATATACACAGGAGCTGTGACAACAAAGGAAGGCTTTG